TCAGGCGCCCACTGGCGTTGAACCAGTCTAGAGGGTGATGAAATTTTGGGGGAGAGTAATGGTTGTCAGTTTGACTCCCACCATTTTAGGGCTCGGTAACACTTCCAAGAATTCCAATCAGTTGACGTTTGCATTTGTTTGGCTGTTTCCTCACAAATGTAACTTGTGGGTTATACGCACCGTCTCGAAACTACCCCTTTTACAGCAGGCTTTCGCATAAAGAATCCCAGACGAACAGTACTGTACCACACCCCCCTGAAGACATTGTCCAATCCCATCCTGCAGAAGCTAGGTATGCAGACTAGTTTGTGGCTGGACTATCTTCTACTCCGCAACTCGCTTCAATGCCGATCGGATGCATCTGCAGCGTTGTGTTAGCGAATACGATCCTGTTGCTGGAGGATGCGTGCTAATCCAGATAACAAAAATTACTGATTAATATTGCTCTTCACAAATATCAGTGCATCACTTATAATAACCCTGACTCCTGAAGTACTGTAAAGCATAATCATATCCCACCAGAGAGGTTTTGTCCAGGGTATGAGTGGCGTCCAAGTGTTCAACATTGCATTGAATACCTGGAACACCGTTGGTCATGAGCACTAGATTCTCCGTCCAATGCACTTCGTCAAACTGACGGTGCAAAATTCAACCATTTCCTCTCAACAGGCAAATCACTGTAACTGATCATTCATTTCCACGTGAACTCCTTCATAATATAAGCTGGCTTCTCGGGGCATTCTCACGATAATTAGGAGGTGTACCTCAGATTCTCCACAAAGTGATCGCGTCTTTACATGCACAATGCCATCACAGAATGTACGTGACGGTGAACAATCACATAAACAATGCATTGTGAACACTCCAACTGTGTGCAGCATCTCACTGTTCCAGACCTCTCACATCACTAATTATCGCGGGCGGGCGGGCCGGAACTTGGAACCAGCACACGGAAGAACAGTACCGTATAGATTACGAGGAAAAAATACAACCCCGGTAAGAAATCACATTAACTGCGAAACGCTTCCAATTCAGCCACTACCGTCAACGCAGTCTTCGTCGAAAGGGCTGCATCATTCTCAAATAGGGATGGATCTCAGGGTGGCAACCTGGGGTTAAGGCAAGTGCTAATCCGGGTCCGACAACCGACATCGAAGGGCAACTCCTGCGGTTAAATGGCAGCCGCTGAGTGGGCTGCAAGAGATGCTAGGCACCGTGCCGTTCCCCTTCCACTGCTTTTTCTTTTATTATATTCCTGATTCGCAGGGGACTTCGTGGAGATTTGTGGCCGCGATTGGTCGCTGCAGAGCACCGACACAGCGACGACGAAAACAATTCCGCAAAAAATACCACGAAGAAGCCCATGCCCCTAACCTCGCTACCAACTCCCGCGTAAAATGTAACCGCGGTAAACACATGCATGGTAACTATTATCCTCACCTCATGGTAACTAGTATTCTCATCTCGCGGGAAAATCCAATCGCTTCTAGACATTTTCGTTGCTTCCCGCGCTTCGCATTTCGGTAGCATTGTAGTTGGATGAGTTAATGCTTATTGGGGTTCTGAAGTGGGTTACTTGTCATTTGCTGAAAGAGGAATCTTGGGTGGTTCATGGAATTGATATTACTGCTCTCTTATTGCAAGTCGTACATGAATGTCTATTTGAATTTGTGTTATATACTTTTTGTTTTGTGTGTGTGTGTATTGTAAATTGGTTTGTTTGTACGAAAACCCGGATTCTAATAGGGTCTTCGTACATAGAAGTTTGGTCCAAAAGTCTTGCGAGGGGGGGGGTGTGTAGGATATTTCTTGTGGTTTTCATCCATAAGTATTCTTTTTGCATAAACATTCACAAACATTCACTAACGGCAAAACAGCAAATAATATTCTTGTCAATAATTTAGATACTTGATTCTCTTCTAAATTTTGATGCATTCAATTTAAATCAACAATTTTTAACTCTTAACTTTAATCCTCTAAACCTTAATTTCTTAATTTAAAATCTTGGTCTATAAATGGAAACTATAAATATAGTATATTTTTAAATTAATGGATTGTTAAGTTTAACCCTTTTGAGATTAATAAAGCAATAGGTTGTCAAATATCTAAATGAATGAACATCCTTGATGACATGGACTATGTGGGACATCTTATGCAAGAAAACTTTAGAGGATGTACCATTAAACGGTTACAACGGTCCCCTCCATAGAAAAGAAAAGTTATTCTTTAAAAGCCTTGAATATTAGAGATGATACAAAGTAAGGAGATGCTAAGAAATAGACCAAATTGTATTTCTATTAAAATTCTAACTAGTATTACAATTTATATATGAATTGTTTGAGGATAAAGTGTGTTCTATTTCATATTTTCCTAGTGCATTTACTAAAGTAGAATGCACTTTATCCTACATGGGATGAATAGTAGGATGACATATCAAACAATCTTTAAATAATATTTTATTTATTTCAATTTATTATTAATGTTATATTCTAACTCCAATACTACTAAAATTATATAATTATAAAATTGCAATAATTTCACCATAAAAATAATACTGTTTTTAAATATTATTTTATTACATATGATACATGAATTTATGCTATCGTCATTCAATCCAACTCCATTGAGGATTATTTACATGTAGACATTCATATATATATATATATATATATATATTTATGAATTTTATTAAAATTATTACATTAATTTTACCCACATCTAATCTAGCAATCACAACAACATGCAAGTACACAATTGTAACCAATTAACAGAAATTATATTTAATCTTACAATGAAGGCACAAAGTATAAGTGCACCATGATTATACAGCATCAACGAATTCAAATCTTCTTTAAAAACAACTCAAATTATGAATACTTTTGATCGATCCAACATTTTCAACTACCAAATTCTATGATGATTCCAAACCCCATCATCACAGAAAAATTGATTGATTTCTTCAAAAACAATCTTGGAAACAAATAGTTCATTTCTCCGTATGCAATCAAACAATAATTCTTCATTCTTTTAAAAATTTATGAATTTCAGAAATTTAATTAATGCATTTGTTGAACTGGATAACCTTTTCTGCATAAAGTTTCACTATCTTAATGACCATCATTACTGTTCTTAACCACCCCATTTCCCTTTTTTCACTTTAGCTCAGGAAATCTTGTTCCCTCTCCTTCTTCACACACTCAACATTAAAACACCGTTGCCAATCCCACATGTATCAGTTATTTTTGAAATTTAAGTCTCGAAATACACATGCTCCCCAGAAGCATTTTCGTGGTGGCAGGCAGGCAGGCAGGCAGGCAGGAGCAGAGGTGCAGGTCAACTCACTCACTCACTCACTCCTCCACTGAAACCAGAGAAAGGGCTTTTTCCTCCTGTGCTTCTTCTTCCACTGCTGCTGCTGCTGCTGTGTGGCTGTGCGCAGGTGTATCGGTGTGCTGTGGATGGCAGGCACTGTGTTCTGGTCCACACAGCAACATGAACCCACAACTCGGTTAAGACGTAAACATCTCATGTTTGAAACATTTTGAATCTAAGTCCACAAATCCATCCCATAAATGTCAGAAGAAAAACACAGAAGACAAAAAGAAGAACACATATAGCTCTTTGGATGGACCAACATGAATATTGATATATCTTGGAATATGGCACTTGTAAGTTTGGGATTGTTGTCTAGATTTACTCTTTGTGACTCTTTCTTAAAAAAGAAAAATTTAACAATTCAATTATTTATTTGTTGATTGATTGGTTAATTGACATGTTTTTTATGTGATATAGAATTCATAGAAATGGCAGAATCAGAAACATATTTTGAGTAAATGGTATGTTTTAGCTTTATTTTTTAAAAACGAAATACTATGAGGGACTTGGATTAGAAAACACTTCAATAAAAATAGAAAAACAGTACCATTATTTCAATCACATCTAAACTAAAGTGGTAACACACTGTAAAAAAACATTTCAACTCTTGTGATGCAAAAAGGGACAAAAAGTACATTAAAAAAATGGCAATTGATGCAAACTAAGAAACAACAAATCAACTAATAGCTGGTGACATAGCCACATGAGATGAGGCATAAATGAGCATTGAATACCATTGCAAAGCACCAAGGTTACAAAAACTTACTCGAGATAAGCCACAAATGACAATAAACTGCTTGGTTGGAGCATGTCAGTGCAGGATATGGCTATCCAAGTAGAACCTGATTGTTTGTGGACTTCCTCAGAGTTATATACCCTTCCATTGAACCAAACAACACACAAAGGAAGAGAGCTCATGTTGAGTGGCCTTGTGTGGGCTCAGGAGCTCCAATAGTCCACACATGAGCCCACCAAAAAGCCTTGACTGGGAGGAACTGTTGCAGCTTCTTCTGCTATAACTCTGCAGCAAAATTGACTTGTGGCTAACATAGATCTCATTCATTCATCAATCACCCAGTTATGAAGTGAATGTGTGAGTGAGGGTGACTTAGGGGTGTGGCAATGATCCCATATCAAGTTGGATGGCTCTCTCCAACCACAGCCTGTCAAGGCCAGCTCTCCTTTGGATCCTTATGTTTGGAATCCAATATAATATCCAATTTGGGCCTCCTTAAAGTTTGTTGCAGACACAAGTTTCAATGCACCCCTACACCCCTCCTTTTTATCTCTTTATTATATACCACATTACAGGTGTACTAAAAGTGGTGACAAGTCACTGGCAAGAGCTCAGCCTTTTTCTACAAAAATATCAACAACCTCTTCTTCTTTTTTGTTTTTCTTCTTCTTTTTCCTCATCAGTGGGATGGTGTTTTGAGGTGGGGCTCCAGTGAATTTGACTCAGAGGCTTGGGTATGCACCACTCACATGGCACCGTCCACAGAGGAAATCAGTGGCAGGAATTTTAATCTAACAGGACTCTTCAAAATGCCATGAGAACAGTTGTGGACATCCCATGATGTATGGCCCTCTCTCTCTCTCTCTCCTCCCTTCAGCCTCCAGCTAAATTAACATAGGACCTGTAGCTGCTTGTAACACAAGCACACCAAGGCTACAATTACAATCTGTGGTGTAGATTCACAAGTAATGACAAAGTGTTTAAACTTCTTTCCCACAATACTGGACAAAGGCTAGTTAGGTCAATAGGCCTGGGAGCTGAAGATGGACTATTGTAGCAATGGTATTAGTGTGCATTTTTGGAGACAATACAGTAAGATGTATTGAATACAGAATCATGTTCCTGGGACATGAGATGGGCACCATTTATGATATAGGATTGCAAAAATACAACCATGCAGACACTTGGCTGCAGCGACACATCTGAGTAATTGCAAGGTCTTGAACCTTGGTGGCAAAGTTCATGCTGGCACCTGAAAAGCTAAACCTCAGAGTTAACCTTAAGTCTGATTTGGATTGCAATTATCAATGGGAACCAAAAGCAGACTTGGTCAAGCATCCAAAAAGGTATCTTATGGATTCTGCATCCTGGCTCATGCATATCACCCATTCTCCAAGGGAACATTTGAACTCAATCCACCACCATGAACACACATGTGGTGAGCATGCAGCAGCCCACTGTGTTCCCATGCCCCAATGTTCCACTTGTTCCAATGTCTGTTCCCGGACTAAAAAACCAGTATGGGCCCACCTACAGAAACACAGCGCATATCGTGCTTAGCATTAATCCCATAATTATGCGCTTCATCAGCCGACTTTCCACGCCGCTATAGCTAGGTTAATCAAGGTTAACCTAAGACTGGCATTCGGTCTAGTCATTGGCCAAGTAATCGGCTCCTCCATCGGCCTAGTAATCGCATCCTTGACCCGAGCTGTAAACTAATGGACCATCTGCAACTTGCGGGACATGGCAGACGAAGATTCTTGTCCAAAATTGTCCAAATTTGCAGAGTCCGGGCAGACGGCGGAGGGGGAGGAACTATAGGACCATTGAAGATGTACAAGCTAGAGTGCGGTCAGAATCTTCTGATTCCGGCGTCACTGTGCTGATGGATGCAATGCGATGAGGTGTCCAGTAGTTACTGCAACTCAGGCAACTGTGCTGGGCTACAAGATCACCAGTGCGGCAAGTCGAACATTGTCCGGGTTGAGCCGACCCATAGTTTTACCGATCGACATTGAACTGAACCCGAACAACCGAGTCACAGGGTTTTGACTTATAAGATATTGGGAAGAAATATGTTACATCCGATTAGATAGAGGGCAATCGGTCAACCGCAAATGCAGAGGGCATTTTTCAATCTTCCCAGATCTCCTAGACAACACCAGATCCTGTTAATTACCCATACCTCAGTCGAAGGAGTAAGAGTGAAAAGTGCCCAGTATGGCGAAACGGGAAGTGTAGTCAGTGAAGAAAAGGTCGGACCAACCAAGGGATCCCACGCTAGCATTGGTAGCCTGTCACGAGTCTGCAAGCAAGGACAGGAGATGAGTTTTTAGGGGAAAGCCAGACCTGTTATAAAAAGCCTGCGACATCGCTGTTGATGAGTGCCAGAGAATCCAGCTGAACTGAAGGCTTCTAGACTCGAAAGACCAGTCCATTGTTGTTGGCTCATCCCTCTCTGCTCTCCCTAGCCGTTCAATGCGTGCACTCACATTGCACACGAACGAACAACAAACAACAACATCAACAAGTAGCTCTGAGTCACTGTGTTTGATCACCGTTTCAGGTACTTGCTCGGATCGCGGCATACCGTTGTTCTTCGGGAACGCGTTGTACATTTGTCTCTAGGATCTAGGGGGTTTCTTCGTGTGGCCTGCACCAACCTGAGCTTGATTGTCAGTGTGTTTAGCTAAAATCCACTAGCAGAGGTGCAGCGTTGATCCCTGAATGTTCGTTCCTGGTCGTGTTCGGTGCAAGGTAGAGTTGATCAGCACAATGTACAGGGTGTTACAGCCTGCAATGAGCTGGCTGACACGTAGTAGCTTAGACTACATTTGAAACGCGTCTAATTCTTCCGCACGTGCATATTCTTCCGTCCACATGCAGTGCTCGGTAGCTTAGATTGTACACAGATTCTACATTTCTGCACCTACTTGTGAAAAATCATTCGGTGAAGTTCACATCCACATATGCAGCCACATTTTATCGAGCACCTGTGAATTTTGCGTTATTGTGCACCCAGCAGTGCAAACCCTCATCCACGTAGATCGAAACCAGTTTCAGAACATGTTTCATAGTGTCTGCATCGCACGGAGTCTAGGTGTGTAGAACGCCGGTGTTGAATTCTTCTAGCATGCCTGCCATAGCTGAAGCCACTCTGTTTTCATGACACCGTCAGAGTACCTGGCTTTCGAGTATTTCTCGTTGAACACAAGCATTGAATTATTTTGAAACTGTTTGCTGGAACTCTTGAGCTCTTCTTGACTGCGTCAAAAGAAGGGCACCAGAGCGTGGATTGACATTCTAGTTGGATGGTTCAGGGTGAGAATCTGGAGACCGGAATGAAAGCACCCTCTCTCGGGTGAACAGAGCGATCAGGGATGGCAATTACAAGCATGGGAGGGTACCCTTGCCAGAGCGCAATGCAGCAGCTCATACGCAACGAGAGCAGCTCGGATTCGTTGGCTGCAATTCTCACTCCCTGCTCCCCTCATGTGGGCCTACAAGGTGCGTGTCGACCCCACCCTGCCCTACCTTCCAACTCCAGAAGTTTTCCTTTCTTGTGCGGGCCGGAGAAATCTAAGCTTGGAAACCTACGAGGTTAGGACATGGTGGGCTGACGGGACTTTGCTTTGTTCTTTGCTGTCGCAGCGCCGCCACATGTAGGAGGATCGCTAGAAGACGCTGTTCTTGTAGCGTCGGAGGGAAGCAGACAGAAGCGTCCTTTCTTTGCCACATACGATGCCCCGACGGTTGAGGATGGCCCAGTTGAGGACGATGAAGGTGCCGATGACTCTCAAGGCGCTTCACAGCTCGAGAAGAAGCGGAGGCTGACTTTCGACCAGGTGAGGTCGCTGGAGAGGAATTTCGAGATGGAGAACAAGCTCGAGCCTGAACGGAAAATGCAGCTGGCCAAAGAGCTCGGGTTACGGCCTCGTCAAGTGGCGGTGTGGTTCCAAAACAGGCGAGCGAGGTGGAAGACGAAACAACTGGAGCGAGATTACGAGGCACTAGCCGCGGATTACAAGAGCCTCAAGCATGACTACGACCTCGTGCTGGCAGAGAAAAACAATTTGAAAGCTGAGGTGCAACGTCTATCCGGCAAGGCGCCAACCTCTCCTTGTGCTGATGGCAATCAAATCGTCGCGGGTGAATCTGCACAAACCCCGGAAGTAGACGTTGAGACTTCGGAGCTTGTTGCAAGGCAGCACACCTCCAGGTCAACTCCAACCGTGGACGTTTCCCTGGCGTGCGTGAAGGACAAAGACTTCGAAACCAGTGGTTGCACGGACGGGAACTCCAGTGACGTGCTGGACGCCGACAGTCCCCGAACCACCGATAGTAGCAGCCTCTCGGCGATGTCGGACCATGATCAGCTGATATACAGCCATGAAATCCCACCACCCGAGAGCTTCATGGGCCTTTCTGGCATGCTACACGACGTCACCGTGAAGCTGGAGGAAGGGAGCGGCCACGGGTTCCACGACGACAATTCTTCTAATTATTTTCTTCTCCATCTGGAGGATCAAGCCGGCGTGCTTCCGTGGTGGGATTGGCCTTAAAGCATTCACGGTTTTCTGTACATAGATCCACGTCTGGGCTGAACGATTTCACCTCAATTTTCCAAGAGGAGTTCAAGTATGTATCATGACTTACGTTTGCCGTCACCAACACTTCGCGGGAGCTTCATCCCGCCGACTTATTGTTAGCCGTTTATGTACATTTGCAGAGTGGATTTTGTGTCACGTAGTTTGAACTTGCAGGAGTCATTGGATCATCGGGTACTTTGTTACTAGATTTCAAGAGTTTAGCACACAGTGGCAGCGTCGGATTAGCCTTAGCATCTGTTCCAAAGAGGTCCGATTGGTCTAACCAATCGACCGCGACTCACAGCGTCAGGCATGATGCATTTCAGCCATCACCATCCTGGAATACTTCAGCATCGTCAACATCGGACATGTAATCACATCTCCGATCACATGATGCATGTTCTTTTGGTAGATTGGCTCATGTTGATGTATCTATCAAAGGCCCGCGCTGCGCTCTTTGCAGCAATTTTCCCTCCGAAATAAAAACCATTGGAATTCACGATTTGTTCATTTCAACGCCCACACAATTGCTGATCAGTTGTGTGTTTCTGTGCTATGTGGAAGTGGGAGCTGCCTTGCTTGAAGGATAATGATTCCGTGTCCTTTGCTAACGTTGACGACCAGCATTTTACTTATCCTTCCCACCCCAAAACATGATAGTTTATTATCGAGAAGGAATAAGATTGATGAATCGCTCGCTTTCTCATCCAAGCAAAGACCTTGCAGTGCGTGCGGTTCCATATCTCTCGAATCTCCATGTGAAATCTTCAACTACCAACATTCTTTCATAGTTAGTGAAAAACTGAGAGCCCCCAGCCTACAACAAACATCTTGGAGTGTTTCCCATTCGAAATATGCACAAGGGTAGGTTCCTTGTTCTTACTCCTGACACGTGTGATTCTGCTTTTCGTAAGAAACAAACAGCTTGAAACTGATGAATGGAATACGTAAACATGAACTTCAAGTGCGATTCAAATTCTGGGAGAAAATGCCGAGTTCAATTCCGGAAAAATCTCAAGAATTCACACAATCAGAGGCAAGAACCAGGGTGGGTCAATAGGCTACAAAATAATTGTAAAGTATTAGGCACCTTAACGGATTCTTCTAAACTTCCTCCTCACACTGCTCTACAGCTCCCCCAACATCTTCCCTCTATATATAAGTATAATCGTACTAAAGTCCTTAAAACGTTTTATGAATATTTAAAGCATTCCTGCGTTTTAAAACGGCGATCGTCCGCTGCGGAATCTTTCCAGGTGTAGGACTCGATGGCCTCACCCAGACAATTTCAAACTAAGACGAAGTAGAGAAGATTAGCGATTTTTGTGAATTAAAAAAAAAAAAACTATAGTTTAAGAGCCTCAACAGTGAACGAGGAAAAATTCAACGGAGAGCGGCCTAGAACATAGACTACCGTGAATATCACAGCAGTGGTGCTGTAGGGGATTCTTTCCGACCGTTAGGATTATGGATCGCCGGTGATGGGCAAGATACAAATAGGTTTCACAATTTGTCCTCAAACCTGGCTTGAATGCTGGCCATGCAACACTGCAAGGTGGCGTGTGCTCACTAGGAGAGTGTCCCATTCCCCTCCAGGATTTGCGATGTTGCTTGGAGACGCGCATAAGGAATGAGCCCGTGCTTCCCCCTGCCGATGCTGGACATCCCGTAACCATCAAAGTAGTACCAATCAAAGTAGTACCCATTTGTATTTTTGTCATCCTTCTTCGACATGGTTAACATTTGTTCTAGAAAATTGAATTGGTTCAGTGCTGAAGAAACGCTTCACCATGATAGGTTGAGCATAACCCGGAAAATGGTGAATTCGCCAGAATATTAACCAACGTCAGTGCTTTCGATGTGTAGTAGGCTCTTGTGAGTTTTTTAAGAATATAGAGCACGGTAACCCAACTTCGCAAGGAATTTCGCCTCCGTGACTTGCCGCTCGCTGCAGAATTTCCCAGCACTCCATCGACATCAGATGCAACAAATCGCGATAGGGAAGCCAGTACTATTCTCATAATACAACTGGAATTAGGTGAAACGGACTGTTCACTGTCTGCAAGGCATCTTCCGCACTGTAGCCTTTACCATGCGGTGATCAACCAAATCTGTCCAGGTACCATTCTTCAAATTTTCTCGGCCTGCAAAAGATACGCCACATTTAGCGTTAATGGCTGGAGCCTGGAAACGCACACTGCGGTCGTGTTCACGTAAGCATCGTCTGGATCATGTGTGGTTAAGGAGGTCCTTCCATCACAGCCAAAGTCCTGAACATCATCAAACTTTGGAAAAGCTCCAAGTAGACGCTGCAGTTGCAACGCGATTGCTCAGATGTTCTCGCCTTCTGGCAATTGGTGCAGTGGCAGAAAAAGGCCCCAAAAACGGTGAATGTGAGCGCATGGGATCCAAGCCATTCCGATCTCGAGGCAACGCTGAGGTGACCATGACGAAGGTGGAATTCCTCACGTAACCGTGTGATCTTCACACGCAATCTGACGGTTTCCTCGGCAATGATGTCCCCCCGCTACCTACCTCTTCTCCCCCCCCGAAGAGTTGCTCCGTGCTACCTCTCGCTTAGGGCTTCATCCATGTGCGTTCGTTCATCCACGACGCCTGGATGGGTGGATAGATGGATGAACGCTGGCTCGCTCCTTGGGTTTGAATAACGTTCCACCAATCAAAGATTTCCATGGCCAAAACGAGGTTTCACATTTATAACTCCCGTGTACATAACATCAATTCTTTTTGGTTATATGGTATATATGGTCTTGTTTCAATCATTATAGGATGTTGGTTTTATTTTATTTAATTTTATTTTCAATTTAAATATTTTATTTTACTTCATTTTCCTCTTCTATATTTACTAATTTGCACATTGAAGCATAGGGTTGTATACTTAATTATTTCATTCGATTATTATCATTATTTGGAAGACTATGCATTAAAGGAAAGTGTATTGCAACACTACACTCAAATTTTTATCCAGATAATAAAAGAGAAATTCAAGAGAAGTAAAAAATATTTTATATTAGACTCATTTAATCCAAACATAAAAGTTATTTGTATTTGATACCAATCCAAGCCTTTTAATTGATATTACATGTATGCCTTCAATATAAGACATATTTCCTAGGTATAGACCTTTTTTTCTACTTAAATATTAGTTATATAAAATTATTTCACATCTAATTAATACTAAAAAAATTCATATTCTTATAAATCTTCTAAAAGTAGACTTAATTTTTGCAATGATATTCTCAAAATTTCAAGGTCTATAATTAAATTAGATTTTATTGATAGAAAACCATAATAAGTTTGTTTTTGTAATTAAGTTTTAATAGACAAAGCAAGTATTTTATTTATTTATTTAAGAAGTGTAAAAATTTAAAATATCTTCTTATTAAATATAAAAAATTTTACAACAACAAAAGATCTTCTTCTAAATACTCTCAATAAGCTATAAAGATAAAACTCTATATTGTCTCCAAGAATATTAAAATTATTCATACCTAGCTTCTAAGGTTGTATTGCTACTAAATATGATTATAAATAGAGAATATAAACCATCTTCTACTACCTCAATTATTAAGGCCTCAAGCTTAAGTTGTTACCAACACTAAACCTTTAAGAAACTTTTAGCAGATAAGTTTCAGAGATATTCTTAATTATATCAAGGTACAAAGGTTTTATGACCCTTCAAGTTTTTAGTGTGTTTTAGAAAATTTATATATTATGCAATAATATAATTTTAAATACAAGGTTTAGAATAATGATAATGTATAGAATTAACTGTTTCTAACTATTAGATAATGGCAGAATATGAAAGAAAGAGATACTTGATAGAGTATGTAAGAGACTTAAAAAAAAAAAAAAAAAAAAAAAAAAACTTTCTGAAGGTTAAAAAAAAAATGGATTAATGCTGGTAAACCGCTTTTTTTCTTACCAAAAACAATTATGGTTTTTTTTCGTAGATACAGACAATGTATTTTAACCTAGAATAACATTGTCTCTAGGTTAAAATACATTGTCTGTATCTATGAACATATATATTTATAAACAAAAGACTAATGATATATTTGTTTATAAATGTATTTAATAATGTATTTATGTATAATAATAATATATGAATAATAAATAATATTTATTTCTAATAATAAATATTCATTTGTGAATAATAAATATATTTAAAACTTTTAAAAATATAAAATTATAAAATTTTATATTTAGTATTTCTATATATTATTATTATTATTATTATTATATGTAATAATAATAATCATCATATATAGTAATACTATATATAATAATTGTATATTTATATTTGATATATGTATTAAAATTTCAGATTAAAAAATTTAATATAAATTTTTATTGATTTATAACATTTTTTAACACATAAATACAAAATTTAACTTATTATTAAAACAATAGTATTACTAAAGACATTGATAAACAACTTATTTTAATTGAAGATGTCCTTAAAGATACATAATCGTTGTATAACACTATAATATATTTTTAGATTTATATGTAGCTAAAATTTTATAGTTTATCCTTTTTTAAAACCGAAAGTCCTTATGATTCTTTTAAGATCAATCTTGTATATGTCATGCATAACAAAAGTTGGTACTCAAAACAATCTTATATAATAATTTAAAATTTATATTTATATAAAGAAATATCATTATTCTTTATTTCATTTAACTAATCTAATTGCAGTGAGTAATATTTCTATTCTATCTTTTATTATTTAGTATATTTTTTAAAATTAACATGATTACTTCGATGTTATTCATGATGTAATTTTAGGATGTCTACACATCTCCTTATTTGTATTAGTTATTACTTATAAAAACTTGAATTTCTTGAATTTTAATTTAAAAGAATAAAAAAATTATAATTATGTAATGATCACACCCTTAAAGATTTGAGCAATAGCCATTATTGTTTGTATGTGTATATATATAAATATATATTTTGATTGATAGATAGATAGATATATAGGTAGGTAGGTAGGTAGGTAGGTACATTTATTTATTAATTTATAAGTATTTTTGAATTGTTTTCTTTGTAATATGTTATTTAAAAAAACAATAGTTGCACATTTTGTTATATTCATTTAATATTAAAAGCTCATTGGTCTATTAAATTCAAATATGTATTAGTTTAAATTTACAATTTAAATTATTAGTAAAATTAATATTTTATTTTGTAGAAAATTATTTATTTCTAATTTAAATATTCTTATTCTTCTTATTATGCTTATAATCAATACAACATATTATTAACATGTGATTAAAAAATACAATAAAATTATATTTAAAATTTTCTAAAACTTTTTCCTGAATAGCAATATTATATATTTTTAAAGCACTAAATTTATATGGCATATCATTGAAATTTAAATGTGTGAGGAAAGAGAAAGAATGAACTCAAGAGAAACACAGATACTATTGAATATATATGTAATAGCACAGTATTCTAGCATAAGATAACTATTACAAATGCATTTATTCTTATATATATTTTAATATCCCTATTTGTTTGATTTATCACTTCTCATTGGGTCTTCCTACCACCATTCCACTAATTACCTCACCTTATGTTTATTAATAGAAAATCACTGCTATTTGATAAGTTTCTGAAACTAGTACAAAACTGAAGCAAATCCTCCCCACCCAAGTGTCGCAGTGTTGTCCTTTGTAAACTTACTCACACCCAGATGCTACTCAAGTCTCACTAATTCAAAAGCCCTTGCACTTTGTAAAAAAATGCCGGTGTCACATGCAAAGAAATCTCTCGTAGATGAACCCAGTATAATCCACCTTAAAATTATGTTCACATTTAGGATTGATGCCACTCAGTGTCCAGTTTACAACTAAGTTTTGTGTGAGCTTGACTGCATGCTACAGCACTTCTGCTGATACTCGACGTGAAGTGGTGGATCGATGTTGATGCTTTATCCATTGATACAACTTTTTGATATGGGTTCGATGTAGAAGGATCTAGAAATGCTAGTTTTTCTGCCTCGTCACATACTAGAGTGTCCAAAACGGTGGAGGCTAGAGTTCGATAAGATTTCCAGTCCAAGTGCTGCAGTGATAGCAAGGTTTACGAAGGTTGAGAACATAGCAACCCTTATGAGGTGGCAACTCTTATTTGGAATGGGTTCTCAAGCACGAAGCATGATGGAGGTGGACTCTGATTGTTCACAGAAAGTGCACTGTGTGATCAGGAACCATAGCAACAGCAGCTTCTAAACTAAGCGGTGATGTCCAAGTGGACTGGAATACTCCCTGATCACCGCTGCTTGCTCAAATTCCGTGGGAGTCGTGGACGATAGCTTCACGTATGATTGAAATGCATAAGCTGTAATTCCTCACAGGATCTACCGTACACTGGGATACAAAGATATATACAAAACGTGAAGAACCTTGCACATAGTCTTGAGCCTAAGCTTCTGACACCACATGAACTTCCTCTCATCTTGCCTCGATCGGAGGCTCCTCCATCGTCGTCTCCATTGGAAAGCTCAGCGGAGTTTATTCTCAGTGAAGAGAACACTGCGGCGCTTGCGAAGAATGGTCACTGCCTTGTCGGGCGCACATGACACAACCTTGTATTAAACTACGTTTCTGACACCTACACCTTTCGTAAGTCAAGACAGCAGAGAACTTGGCGTTATCAAATTCCACTGAGTACAGTTCCCTCGCCTCTCAATTAATTCCACTTGTGCATCCCACTTGGCATCAAAATATAAGAAGCGCACCATCAAGTTTCCCAACCTAATCCCCTTGAACCCTGATATCTGTATCGTCATCCAACTCCCAACACAAGCAGCACCGCCACTCATAAATGAAAGAACTCATGTATGAAGTCCTACACCGAGGAAATCGATTCATCGTATGAACAGTCTCTAGATAACTTACAATCATGTGACAACTTAGCGGACCGTGGCACTCTCTTTCTTTAAAAGTATCAAACTCCCACCGCTCCTCTAGAATCAATTTAATCTTCAACGGAGTGCATGACAAACACAAACTCGCCGATCTCCCAAACCGCATAAAGAACAGTCGAGGACTGCAGCAACCGTTCCTTTGCGCAGCCCGTGGTCACCATTACTAGGCAGGTGGTATACTCAAACGTCGAAGTAACAATGACATGGTAGAGGGGAATACTAACCTTCGCTTTAAAAGTATCTTTCAGGAATGTCGTTATCGGTTCATTAGAGGCTTCCAAAAGCCACGGCAAGTACATGAGGTCCTCTTTGGATGAATTCACGTCGCTGTTTCAATATAAAAACATGCAGTCTGCATGGTTCTCACCAATCTATGTAATTCGCAGTCACAGACGCTGGTTAAATATTAGAATCTCCGGTACCTCTAGAAACTATGAGTTCGGAATGTGATATTCAGTCATGCACTCAAAGGTCCCTGAGCTTATCTCTCTTGATTTTTACAACAAATGAATTGAGCAACAGAGGCAAGACCCAAAGAGCCTCATTAATAGAGATAATGTAACCTTGCTTCACTGATGGTGTTAATTAGTGGCTAACTTCTGGTCAATACTGTTGGAACGGTGAGATGAAAATCACAATTCTATCGACATCGTCTTTACGAATACAACATTTGGGAGTGAACTATCATGGATGCTCCAAGCTGTGGTAGCCTATCTGTAGGTGTCTTAGGATTCACGCGCTGGGTGTGTGAACAAAACCTAGGAAAAATAATAGATTGATCATTTCATAAGTGTGATGGCATCTGTGTCGATGCAGGGGCAGCTTGCCCCGCAGAGTCGAGCTCAGGAGAGTAATCAACCATCTATACCACTCTTGTCACTACTCAAACTGTGTCACCGCGTTAACAGAAATGAATTTAATTAGCAAACCTAACAATGAAGGGCTAGCACTTGAAGCCCTTCAAATTTTTGTTTTCTCCTGAAACACTTGGGCTTGAACAGGGCTACCTTCAGGCAAGCACACAAAAGTCCCTGGGTTGATCTCTCCTGAAATACTCAAAGCTCAAAGCACGTATTCTTAGGAGAGAAAGACCCAAAGACCCTAATGTGGTTGCCACATTCTGTTGATGCGGAGACCAGCCTCTGTGTAGCTCATTCTGGAATCCTATATAAAAACCTAACCCAAAACTACAAAACAACTTGACAAGGAACAAGTTTCAGCACTTTCCACGGCATTGTTGGATGAGACCCCCCCCCCCCCCCCCCCTTGAGCTGCATTTGGGAATGCTACTCATAGAGTATGGTTCAGATGGCACGAATTTTCTTGGGCAGGTGCTGGAGCTTGAGGTTCATGAATTAGTTGTTCAACGGGAAGTCAAACCAGTTGGGGGAAGATTAGTCTACCAGATTCACGACATTCGACATTAGATTACAGGTATTTGTACTCATTCTCCCAGTGCAACCTTTCATTTTCTGATGTACATAGTGTACAATTAGTGTCAAGCAAGCCGTCGTCTCAACTTTCGAAAAGCCACGAGAGCGGCATACTCGATGCTTCGATGTGTATTTGCAAGTGCATGACGTCGACTGTAGTTTTCCTTGCTGAATTCCTGCTTGAACACGTCACTCCTCAGGACGTTGAAGTGAAGTCTTACCCACATCAATAAATGTGAAATGTTATATTAAGGTACTTGAACGTAGGAAACCCTAGTCATCAATGTTACAGAGCAGCGTGGAAGGACCAAACAGATCTGAACAGATAATACTCCGCTACGTATTATGCTTGAATGGGATTTTTCTGGATTAGTTGTCAGCAGTCAAAGACTGCGCAATGCTTGGCTGTGGTCAACATCGCAAGCGCAGTCTGATATGAAGCGTGTAACAAGCGAGGTATACCATGTACTTTGATGATAGACTTCAAAAATATGACTTGGAAAGAAGTCGGCCTGATTGTGTGGTGGTACAGAAACTGCAATTGTAAGTGTTAATGAGCCTGTTGATTAAATATACCGAAATATTCATCTGAAGGCGTGATGAAATGCCTTAAGAGGACCCATGGAAATTACTGATTGAAGATCCCTCAGTGCGTAGTCTCTCGCTCTTTCAGAGAACTTGCCACCATAGCCACGTTGATCTATATCCAAAGAGATCTAATGCAGCGATCAAATACACTAATGGTAAAAACGAGTTAAACCATTGCGTTTACAAGAGCAGCTGGGCGTGACGAGCAGGTACACTTGCTTGGTTGATGATAAGTTTGGTATTGCAGTCTGCGAGGAAATATTCTAAGGCTGATACCGAAGCGATGGCAGATATGAAGGGCACGATATTTCAACACCCGAAAAGATTGTCGACAAAGAGCTAAATGGGTTTAGTCTAAACTACCCAAATTGAAACCTTTTGGAGGAAAATAGTCGATGCTGTTCTGGTCCCAGGACCCACACAAAACGCATAATCTCCTTCGTGGCCTTCAAATTCAGTTACGAACTAATTCCTAATGAGTTGCCCATCTCCTCTACCAACTTGGTGATGTTCAATCTGACTTGCTTGCCAGAAGGTGGTCTTCGTCCACCTTGATCATGAGTATCAAACGCAGTGTATCCATTACTCAAAGAGAATTACCAGTCTCTTGAATGCCAGATTTTCAGTATGAAGGGCAGCCAATTCGATCTAGTTTCATTAGGATTATTCCAGTCTAAACGTTGACTAAACACGTTGGTTGTAGCCAGATTTTACATGCTGGACAAAGAGCACCAGAGAGTAGTCTCTTTTGCAATTCAACTCTTAGCTTGCGACAGTAACAGCTTGCAGCACATCAGAAGAGTTTCAAATGCCGTACTCTGTCCCACTACTTTTGTGAATCAAGTGTCCATTCAGCAATTGTCGACAAGCAGTTCACGAAGTAATACAAAAGGATGTGTTGCTGAGATTTGACAAAACTCTGCTTGTGGCTGACCCCCTCTGCTTCACGTCAAAGAAATCCAGAGGTTGTGGTCATAAACAAAAACACAACATTTGAGCCGGAGCAATCGCTATCTCAAGTTTAATGTTATGAAATTGATTTAGGTGAATAACCTGGTCAAATTATGGTTTGGCCTTGCAAATATCTTGTAGTGATGCAAGTTCTTTTCGTCTTATGAACCAATTTGATTTGGTATTGATGCCGTCAATGATTGAATGATATTTTGTAGAAGTTGAAATTACTGAATTGTAATATATATTATTTTCTAAATTTACACTTCTACTCCTATAATAATATTTTAATACAAAAAAATAAAAAGAGTTAATTAATTTATTTATTGACTTAGCCAAGGTACACTCAATGTCTTGATTAAAGTGTATTAAGTATAAGGCATTTAAGGAGTTAAAATCTAATGAATTGGGTGATATCAAAGCACATTTTAAAATCATGGTTTATATATTCCTAGGAGTTAGTGTTAATGTTAGAATGTACAATAATACCATTACAAGGGAATTTTGAATTCCACACAATTTTTTTTTAATTATCTATTGCCAATTATTTTTGATACCATTCAAGTTTTGTTTTAATTGCAAAGCATGGCTTTGCCATTGTTTACTTATTTTTTTAATTTGTCTTTTGTGAATTTTTGTTTTATTCTACTATTCTATCATAGACTTGTTATCTTTAAGAACATACTCTTTGACCATTCTATATTTTACTATTGAAGAACAAGTTGTTAAATTGCCTCCATATTGTCCAAAGACATGTGCCACAAATAAGAGATCATATGGCTTTGAGTCTTTTAAATGTAAAAAAGATATCTTTAACAAATATTATTTATTTCTAAGTAAAAGCTAGCTAAGGTTTAATTTTGTTAAGACTAGAAAAAAAAACTTTTATATAATTGAGGTGATCCAATTTTAATCTTTTTAAGCTTAAAAATAATTTTAGATTTTTTGTATTATTATTTTTAGATATTTTAGGTTGCAAACTTGACAAAGTAAAAAAATATCTTTACTTGGTTGTACTCTTTATATATTAATTGCAAAGTCTATGAGTCATATTAACATGGATTCTTTCTTGGCTTTTAAATCAAATCAAATAATTTTTCCTTCTAGCTTGTCACTTTATTTTATTGATACAAGGTTTCATAGTGCATGTTTTTTTTTAAAGATTTGTTTATTTATTTTGGAAGTATAAGCCATAATATTAATTTTTTTTTGCCAATAGTAAGATTAGAAGTCAAAAGATCTTTTGACAATCATACCAAAGAAAATCTAGTGTTTTTTCTATGTTCTTCAACTTTTATTTTGGTAACTACCTTTACTAGGTCAACAAAGCCTCATACTCCTTTCAAATTAGAAACATAAGAAATAAGAAGATTAAAGTTTTATTGTCAAGATTAAATAATCTTATATGATTTTTAGTATTATGTATTTTAATTTTGAAAGATCTAGGCATAATGAATCATATATTGGTATATATGTTGAGTTTGAAAGAACCTAATTAAAAGATAAAATCTAAATGAAGGACTTTGTTTGAGCTATAGAAATTAATCAAACTATTAAATTGCGGTCTTTAATAGTTGATCCTTAATTTGTTTCTTCTTAGATACTAGCTTCATAGATGTATCAAAAAAACTTATTATTGACAGTTAAATTGAATTTTTAGCTAGCTTCTTTAAAAGACATAAAGTAGTTGGTTGCATAATTGCAAGCATATTTTATTCTTTGTAATCTTTTTTTGTGTGGTTGATTTATTCCATTAGAAGTAATGTATTTATCAATAAAAAAAGAAATTCTTTATTCTATTATAAGAACTTATTACATACTTCTAAAAAAGAAGTTAGAAAGTTGGTTTGAAGATGAAGGATCATTTTTTTCTATATTATATCTATAAATAGCTATATCTGAGATCTTCTATTTTATTTATAATTAAAGAATAAATTTCTTAGATAATCCAATAATAATTTACTAACATCAATATATGACTTAAAAGAATTTTAAGATTAGAGTTACTTAGATAAAATGTTCTAATAATCCATTAGTGCTTCTTGTATATTCTCCATTCCAAGTCTTATGTGTAAAACTTTTCTTATAAGTGAATGTATTTTTTTAATATTTTTTTAATAGCCTCTAAATATTAAGGTAAAGTAATAGATAGATAAGAGAATTATATTTTAGATAATTGTAATCCTTTCAATTAAGTTGAATTTTTCAAAATACCAATAGTCTATTTTTTTCTTAATTCTATTTAATAAAAATAATTAATTGCAATTAAATAATTAATTTCAATTACACCTTTAATTCCTTAAATTTTTCTTACTTTAATCTTATCATATATATATTTAAGTATAATTTATTTTCAAATATGAAAAAAGGTAAGAAGTAAAGAAGTATCTTTTTTGATTCTTTTTAAAAAAAGAAGCTTTTATTTAAGCTACCATTGATTCAAATTGAGGCTTTTTTATTCTTGAACAATAGCTTGATTACATTAATAAGTTTTTAATTGAAAAATAATTATTCTATGGCTAGAATTAAAAAAAAATATAAAATTTTATCCAAGGCTTTTGAAAAATTTAGCTTGATTAGAAGCAAAGATTTTTTATTTTTTTTATTTTTTTAGCCTAATATATTATTTCTTAGGTGATTGATATATCATTCAAAATAAACTATAGATATAAAAAAAAATTAGTTTAGATGAATAATCTCTATCAAGACCTCTTAGAATCTTCTTTGTAAGGTTTTAGCATAAATCTTGTAGGATATCTTGAGTAGGATAATGGATTTCTATTTGGTGCAAAAATATTGGTCTCTAATTTTAGAAATCAAAATTATGATTTTTCTTACTAAATAATGAAGAAATTGACATTGCAATATAATTATACTGATTACACATATATAGTTTGTACTAATAAAGTTTCAAATTTATTTAAATAATTTTACTTCTAAGCCATTTAATTATAGTATTTTAAAAATATGATTGAATATTAAAATATTTAATTATATCCACCAAGAATTTATCCAATCTATGTCTTTTTTTAAGACAACTTCATTATATTTGTACTAGGCACTTTAATTTACAATAAATTTTATAGAAAGTCAAGTCAAATTGAAGGCTAGCATAACTTCTTTTTGGCATTGAATCAATACTTGTGAAAAGTCATGACTCCCCTGAAGCAAAGTTAATTGTTGTAGGTTGCCATACATGTCGTTTTCTTAATCTATCTAATTTTTATGGTATTCACAAGTTCAAATTTTTAAACTACTTGTACTACTATT